TACGCCACGCACTCCGTTGCTCTTATTGGTTGTAGGTCTATCCAATTGAGTGCAGAGGCATTTTTTTTCCTGGTTCGTTTGAAACACGCCCCATAATCACAGCTCTATGGAGCAGCATCAGACTCATATTCTGACTAGAATTGAGTCGGACTACGTCAGGCTAACAAAAGAAACCATCAAAGTCCAAATTATGGCTGGAGGAGCTGATGCCACTGAGGTCAGACCCTGATTCTGTGACTGTTAGCTGGAAGCTAAAGAGAGGAAAACACCTCTAAGATTCTTAACAAAGTCCTCCAGCTTCATCTTCCTCTCGGGCTTCACATTGGGGCTGTACATATCAGTGTTGAGGAGGATGATGGCAAAAGCCAGAATGAAGATGGTGTCTGGGTTCCTGAACTGACGGACCACTCCAGGATTGCAGATGCAGTAGCGCTGGCTGGACAGAAATAGAGAGAAAGAGAGATGTTATTCTGCATATGGACCCAGTCAAAAGTTACTGTTCCTCAGTAATAGTAAATACACTGGAGTATAACTTCAGGTTTTCCATCCATGCCAGACTGACGGTCTGCTAGACATTTCTCACCTGTAGGCCTCAATCAGGCGCTCCACCTTCTGAGCTTCTCCCTGAACTCTGATATGCGCCTGGAATCTCCGCAGCCCTTCGTCCAGCTCCATTCCAGAGAAGTCCATCTCATCCACTACACAGCTGGAGGCACATACAGAGAAAAGGGTCAGTGATGACTTTCATCTTCAAACTTCATGCTGCCATTGCGCCTTAAGTCACACTTAACCTTTCAGACCATATGCAGTGTGCAAGACACAGTGAAGGAAACTCCTTCAGAACCAGTGGGGTGCTTAGAGATACAAAAAGCTCCGTCTTCTAGGTCAGGACTCATGCTTAGCATCCTGAGGCTGTAGCTATACCAATGATTTCACCTTTTCCTTTATAGAGTCCACTACTCTGGTACCACAACTTTACTCCAATTCATTTAGTTGTTTTTGTTCACTTGACCTACGCATGTGTCTGTGTGGCTCTGAAGGGATGGTAAACTGAAGCAATGGGCCATATTGAGCCCTTGGGCCCTGAGTCACATACACACATGCTCTAGATCAGGTATGTCCAAAGTTGATCCTGAAGGGCCACCGTCCTGCAGGTTTCCTGCTTCAGCACACCCGATCCTGATTCTTGCACCTCAGCAAAAGCCTGTTAAAAACCTGCAGGACAGCGGCCCAAGAGCGCCGACTTTGATCAGGTAGCTCAGACAGGAAGAGAGTTAGCAAAGCACAGGAATTTAGTCAGCAAAGTGCAGGAAGTGAGTCGGCAAAGGGCAGGAAGTGAGGTCAGTAGAGCACAGGAAGTGAGGTCAGCAAGGTGCAGGAAGTGAGGTCAGCAAAATGCAGGAACGATAACAGCGGGTCAAGAGGTTCTGGTCGGTAATGTCGGGTCAGGAGGTTCTGGTTGGTAACGGCGGGCCAGGAGGTTCTGGTTGGTAATGTCGGGTCAGGAGGTTCTGGTTGGTAACAGCGGGTCAGGAGGTTCTGGTTGGTAATGGCGGGTCACGAGGTTCTGGTTGGTAACGGCGGGTCAGGAGGTTCTGGTTGGTAATGGCGGATCAGGAGGTTCTGGTTGGTAATGGCGGGTCACGAGGTTCTGGTTGGTAACGGCGGGTCAGGAGGTTCTGGTCGGTAATGTCGGGTCAGGAGGTTCTGGTTGGTAACGGCGGGTCAGGAGGTTCTGGT